GGGGGGGTCTGGGGATTGTGGGGCCGGTGGGAAAGGGGTGGGAGAGGGGGGCAAGGGGGTGTGGGAGAGCAGGCACAGGGGTGCCATGGGGGTCCCTGGGTGTCCCTGGAGCCCCGGAGCGGTTCCCTGGGGCTCTGGGGGGGTGGGATCGGCATTGGGGGGGTCCCCAACCCCCCTGTCCATCCCCGGGGGGCTGATGGGGGGGTTCCCCCCCAGCCAAGAGCCGGTGCTGGGGCGTCCGTGGGGCAGAGGGGGGTGGGAAAGGGGGGTCCGGGGTGTCCCCCTGAGCTGCCAGCGTGGTGTGGGGGGCTGGGGGATGATGGGGGGGGGTCAGGGCACCCCCTGACCCGTGTCCTGCACACACAGGGGTCTTCCAGCTGATGTTAAAGGACGAGTGTCACTTCATCAACGGCACCGAGCAGGTGAGGTACATGGAGAGGCACATCTACAACCGGGAGCAGCTCCTGCACTTCGACAGCGATGTGGGGGTCTATGTGGGGGACACCCCGTATGGGGAGAAGGTTGCCAAGAACTTGAACAGCCGACAGGAATATCTGGAGTACACACGGTCTGTGGTGGACACGTACTGCCGGAACAACTACGAGGTGTCCACCCCGTTCACAGTGAACCGCAGAGGTGAGCGTGGGGCAGAGCGGGTCCCCTCGGCCCCTGCCCCGGGAATGACCCTGGAGCCCCTCAAACCCTCCCTGGGAATCACCCCACACCCCTCAGCCCTCCCTGGGCCCGTCCCGTGGCCTTTTGCCCCCTCCCAGTTCTTCCCAGTCCATCCTGGTCTCTCCCAGTCCGTCCAGTGCCCCCTACTCTCTCCCAGTCCATTCCAGTTTTTCAGAGTCCATCCCAGTCCATCCCAGTCTCTCCCAGTGCCCCCCCGCGTCTCCACGCGTCGATGCCCCCGAGCTCCCGCCCCTCAGCCAATGGCAGCGCGTGTCTCTGATGACGCTCCAGTTGCCAGGCAGACCCAAAGCAAACACTTCCCTCACCACCACTCAGCCTCCCAGGCCCGAGCGCTTCCTTCCCAGGACACACCAGTCACTCCCAGTACATCCCAGTCATTCCCAGTCCACACCAGTCACTCCCAGTCCAGACCAGTCACTCCCAGCCCACACCAGTCACTCCCAGTCCACACCAGTCACTCCCAGTCCACACCAGTCACTCCCAGTCCAGACCAGTCATTCCCAGGCCCTCCCATTTCGATCCCAGTCCATCCCAGTAATTCCCAGACCCTCTCGATCCATTCCCAGACCCTCTCAGTCCATTCCCAGTCGTTCTCACTTCACTCCCACATCTCCCAACTCTCTCCCCAGTGCCCCCCCAGCCCAGACCCTTCTCCCCCACTCTATTCCCAGTCCCTCCCAGTGCCATCCCAGTCCCTCCCACTGCCATCCCAGTCCCTCCCACTGCCATCCCAGTCCCTCCCACTGCCATCCCAGTCCCTCCCAATGTCCTCCAAGCCCTCTCCCCTCCCTCCCAGTGCCTCCCAGCTGAGCCCAGTGTCTCCCCCGTCCCTCCCAGTGCCCCCCAGCTGAGCCCAGTGTCTCCCCCGTCCCTCCCAGTGCCCCCCAGCGTGTCCATCTCGCTGGTGCCGTCGAGCTCCCAGCCCGGCCCCGGCCGCCTGCTCTGCTCCGTGATGGATTTCTACCCTGCGCCGGTGCAGGTGAGGTGGTTCCAGGATGGGCAGGAGCTGCCGGAGCACGTGGTGGCCACCGACGTGGTCCCCAACGGGGACTGGACCTCCCAGGTGCTGGTGAGGCTGGAAATCCCCCCCCGGCGCGGGGTCACCTACAGCTGCCAGGTGGAGCACGTCAGCCTGGAGCACCCCCTCAGCCGGCACTGGGGTACGGCCCGGCCCCCCCAGCCCCGGGGGCACACTGCCAGGGGGGCCGGGGGGGAAAGGGGGACACTGGGGGCCACTGGGTGGGAGTTTGGTGGGGGCTGGGGGTGATGGGAGGGGAGTGGGAGGGTCCTAAAGGGTTTTAGCGGGATCCCTGCAGGGGCTGGGAAGGGACTGGCAGGAGGTTTGAGGGA